GAAAAAAAGATTGTTTTTTTTTTTTTTTTTTTTTTTTTTAGTCTCTACGTACTGTCCGTGCTTACTTCACTTTTTTTTTTTCAGTGTGATGTTTATAGCTGTCAGAGTTGCGGTGTATTACTGGACTGTAAATCCTCCTATAATAAATCAAAAGTACTTGACTGGTGAGTCAAATTGGGAAAAATGCGGGTCAGATGCTATCAGTTTTGGAGTGGCTCCTAAGGGGATTCTGCAAACCCTGCAGCACTGGGACTTGATTAGCACAGAAAGAAATTGCTTGTAGCGACAGCAGGGCGTCCAGCCAGCTTGGGGCAGAAGGGGACAGTCGGCACACTACTTGGACATCGGTGCTCTGATGAAAACAGAAATGAGGTGGAAATGGATCAGAAGAGACTCCTGTCCCAGGGAAGAACAAGGTGACGCAGAAGCAGCCGGCAGCTGCTGCTGTAAGACGACAAATCCCGGTATGTTCAGGGCTGTGCGTGATGCGTTGGCACCACTTAGTGGTCAGTGAGATGAATAAGGTTTGTGTCCCTGGTGACATTTCGTCTTTTGCATAATTTATGCAAGAATCGGCGAGTAAGTGTTGACTATCCTATCGAGTCTGATCATATTTAGTTTACCTCCTTAGCGATGCTACAATAACTTAAACCAAAATGGGTAGGTTCAGATACTCAGTCTTTCTGAAGCTGAACATACCAGATTTATTCCTTTAAACCTATTGTTTAAAGGAATAAATCTGAGTCCTCTGTCACTACTACACTTCAAAGACTACTAAACCCTCATTTCTGTGTGAATAGTTCTACGAAAGGTCCTGTCATGGAAATTTAGTTCCTTTTGTTTTCTTCAGATTCTGACTTAAAATGAAAGCAAATAAAATATCGGGGCCTGTGTGGCAGTCCTAAAGAACCAGAAGCCTCTTTTATGCTCAAAGCAGGAATGGTGTAACTCTCTGATACCAACTTCCTCTAGGTGAGGAGTCATCTCTGGAAGGAAAGTAGCTTCCAGAGCCAACTTTTGTTTGCCTTCACCACAGAAAGTGACCTGGTCTTTGTCGAGCGAGCTGGTATGTAAAGACACACCAGTTAGAAACCTCAATGTTATTCCTCGTGTTATGCTCCCCTTATGCCCAGCAATTGAGAAGTAATTATTTCTGGCTGCTTCCAGAGTGAGCCAGCTTTCTCACCACGTGAGAGCTGAAGTGAAAATCTTACTGACCATTGTTACTCCAGGTAACAGTCCTTTTCCCCCTGCTAAGTTACTTGTGAGTGTGTCTGGTATCAAAAGGACAACTTTTCAAAATCCTGGTCAGAGAACTTCCTAGAAAAAGCCTTAAGTGTGTTTTTGTATTTCCATTTCAAAATATTTCCAACCCTGATCTACACAGAGCTCAAAGACTTGTCTTTGAATTTCCCATACCTTCTGTTGTTTGTAGTACACGGGGCTCATTTTGTACATTGAAGCTTTGCCAGGTATATCTGGGCTTTGGGGAGCCCTCATGAGAAATGCAGGTCAGATTGATTGTCTGTCCATATTCTGCTGTCCCCAAAATCTTGCATTCTGGATTGGATGGTGCAACTGAAGGAAGAAAAAAGGAAGGAATTTTATTAATCAGAAGTAGTTTTTTGTTTTAACCCATCTCCTGCACCCGTGGTTTTTATTCTTGCTAAACAGAGGCTGGTCTTTCACCTACTACTTTCTTCTCAAAGGAACTGGAGTGAACTTGTCTGTAATTTGTTTCTCCCTTCTTGGCACTGGTCAGCCAAGAAGGAATTGTAAGATGCTTTTTGAGATATGTCTAATAGTGTTGGGTGTTGTGTTTAACCCAGCAGGCAGCTAAACACCACACAGCCGTTTGCTCACTCCCCCCACCAGTGAGATGGGTGAGAGAATCGTGAAAAAAAAAGTAAAATTCGTGGGTTGAGATAAAGACAGTTTAATAGGATAGAAAAGGAAGGGAAAATAATAATAATAATGAGAAAAGAATATACAAAGCAAGTGATGCACAATGCAATTGCTCACCACCCGCCAACTGATGCCCAGCCAGTTCCTGAGCAGTGGTCACCCCTCTCCCGGCCAACTCCCCCCAGTTTATATACTGCGCATGACGTCACATGGTATGGGGTATCCCTGTGGCCAGTTTGGGGCAGCTGTCCTGGCTGTGCCCCCTCCCAGCTTCTTGTACACCTCCAGCCTTCTTGGTCGGTAGAGCATGGGAAGCGGAAAAGTCCTTGACTAGGGTAAGCACTACTTAGCAACAACTAAACCATCCGTATGTTATCAACATTATTCTCATGCTAAATCCAACACACAGCACTGTACCAGCTACTAGGAAGGAAATTAACTCTATCCCAGCCAAAACCAGGGCATTCGGTAACTCTTCCTTTGATAACTGGCGTATGACAAGCTACAGGGGGAATGAGGAATGCCCTGTAATGAGGCAAGGGTTATTAGGAAAGTGAACTATACAACCCTAAAGACTATTTTCTACAGTCAGGTATCTAAGGGAGTTGGGTGCTCTAAGCTTTCCAACCTACTTCCATAGTAGTAGGAAAAGACCAAAGATGGAATTGTGGATGATGACTTCCTTGAAAGTTTTTTTCTGTTACAAAATCTGTTGTATAAACCAATGTGGATATTAAAGGAAGGACAGTGTTTTATCTAATGGATCTGGTGTTGTCTCCGTCATGCTTACCAAGGACTAAAAGAGCCAAGGTTGCAGTCTGCCTGGGGGGGTCATTCCGTAGACGAACGGTGCACGCATATGTCCCATTGTCTTCCATGGTCACTGCATTGATGGTGATACTGATGTCCCCTTTGTTTACATCACCACTAAACTGTATACGGTTTTCATAGCCCTTGCCATACTGTACAAGTCCATCAAAATACCTAGTGACAGCATCATCCTGATAGAGAGGGAGGGAAAATGGTCAATCTTAGTTTCTTCTGTGTGAGTCTACAACCTAACTCAATGGATTAGCCCACTCTTAAGAGAAGAGCAGCTTGGAAAAGAGGGCCTTAAGCTGCCCCAGTTTGCCAAAGAGCCAAGAAAAACATAGACATTCAAAAGTGTCTGGGTTTCTGCCTGGAATCCCCTTCTCCCACCTTATCTGAAGTCAGAGACAACTGATTTCTTTTGCTGGGACTTATTCACCTTTCCTCTCTATGACAGGACACCGTGAGACTTGTCTGAGATCCACATGTCAATCAAATTCCCCTATGATTACACAAACTCCTTTGCTTTCTTCCAGCAAGGATCTTCAGAGAAGAAACCCTTGGCAGTTACTGCAAGGAGATCTCCCAAGGCTGCTTCCTCTCTCACTAACTCCCAAGAAATCAAGGAGAACTTCAGAGGTCTCTTTACCTTCAAATACTCCATGTGAATGTAGGAGACCTCAAGAATATCTCCATGTACTCTTATCACCAACATAAAACTTTTCATATAGTATCAACGATATGTATATATATAAATATATATGTATAATATACTTAAAATATACATATCTTTTTATAAAGTATCTGAGTATTTCACATATGTTAATAGATGTAAACCCACAGTACGTACAGTGATATATCCTCAATACACAGATGCAAGACCAAGAGAGAGAAAAGAGAAGGATGGGGGCTTGCCTAGTATCATGCAATAGATTTGGGATAAATTGCATCTAGAATCAGAGCTTCTGTTTGCATAGTTCTGAGATTAAAGAAAGTCTTGAAGGAATCTTTTTCTTCCAGCACACATTCCCACCCACAGTCCTGCTTCCATCTCTCCTCCCACCCCCCTCTTGGATGCCCTATCATATGTTTCTTTATGCAACTTGATTTACCGCACTATTGATTTTCGTCCAGACAACAACATCTCCTGAGGCAATAGGAGCCTCAGTTTTAAAATGACAGCGGAGAGTAACGTTGTTCCCTCGTGCCACCTGTATTTCCTTGGCAGGTGCTTCCACAGTGAGGGCATAAGCAGTCACCAGAACTAGGAAGAGAATAAATTCTGCAGTCAGCAAAATTAACGACATCTGGATTCCATGTTTTGTCTCTTTGGCTTTCTCACATGCCACAATAATCCCACATCCCCTCTGTCATCCATGACATTCCCCACTGAGCAAGAAGTGATGTATGCCGTGGCTGATTGAGTATAGGAAGCTGCTGCACAGGATGGCTAAGGGCTAAACTCTGCTTTCCGTTCCTCGCTTCCCTCTTCTTTACCTGGATACACATTGCCATGGAGTATATAAAGATGTTTTTTTTTGTTCTGAGCCCTCTTTCAGTGACTGACATCCTTTGACGGTTCTAAATGTACAGAGGGAGGCAGATAAACAGATAATAGAAGTGCATCAGCAGTCTTAAGGATTCAGGCTAAACTAACAAATTGATATTGTGAAATTTCAGGGATCAGGAAAACTGTCAAATAACTTGCCTCAATCCAAGTCCATAGAGAAGTGACATTTTGTGCTAGGGAATCAAAACCTGTTCATGTAATGCCCTGAAAAGAGAAAAACCTAGAAAAGCAAAAAGAACTTGAAAGAAACAAGAGAAGAATAGCTATTCGTTTTTAAAAATGAGTAGGGTAGTAGTCACCTTTCTCCAAGAACTGTAGCTCCTGCCTGTGGAGCACAGGAATAGCCGAGAGTTGAATAAAACAGAAATCCCTTTGTGCCCTGGTGAAGCATACAGGGCGCAGGGTGGGTGTTTCTTGTACGCTGTATTCCATTTGACTTGATGCTTAATTCATCATACACGAGCGTTAGCTAGTGGTGGGTCTTAGTTATTCTCACAATTGGGCTGGAGGTTTACCTCTGCCCTGCCATAGATGACCTTCATGCCTGTGGGAACCTATGTTTAAAAACACCTGCTTTCTCCTTACAGTTTGTGTGGGGTTTTGGGGTTCTTTTTATGGCACCAGACTGACTCATTTGAAAAAAATCTAAGTCTGAAATGAGTTAAAGAGAGTGCAGGGAGGCAAGAAAGGGAGTGCTGCTCAGAGGCACTCCCATGGCAAAGAGGAACACAGTCCAGTAAGGAGGAAAGTGGAGGAGGGCAGAGATGGATGCTTTCCCTGAGAGGGGCACACTGTATGTGGTGGTGAAGGTTTGCTTCTGAGAGAACCAGGCTGAGTCAGTGTTCCCTGGAGAGGATTTGACTGAAAAGTTGCCATCTAGCAAGCTTTGGGTCCTCATTCTGCCATATCTCTATCCAGATTAGATCCATAAGGAAATGTAATGTGTAAGAGAGAGAACAAAGGACATCTAGATTCCACCTTGAGTTGCAAACGGATTGTGAATACCTGCTTTTTTATTCAGGAAGAGACCACAGCCACTTGCATTAGGTCAATAAGAGTATGCCATTGGCAAGTTGAGCACTACCAGATCCTCGACTATAACAGCAGTGAATGACAGTGTCCCTTAGAAAATAACAGCGTAGGGACCCAAAAGGTTTTGTTGTCACTGCGCTAGGAACCTGCTGGTAGCAATTCAGGTACTTGCACAGGGTAACATGGGACAGTTGGCACGGGGATCTGCTCCCCCTTGGGAGAGGCAAAAACTTCTGTAACAGCTTCCTGGATGCAGTCTGTTCTCCATAGCAAATGGTCCTTCAAGTCTCTTCTTAGAAATAGCCTATACTTACAGAACTGCTGCATCTTCCCTCTCTTGAGAGGAGTTTGATGGAAATTTTCACAGCAGCCAGACCTTTCCCTCCCCTGCACCCCTCTTTCCTTGCTGCTGGGCAGGGATGCCCTCCCTTCCACAGCTGTCTTCAGAAGCAGCTTCAGACATTTTCAGCAGGAGTACAAAGACTGCCTTCTGTGTTTGTTAATGTCCTGGTAATGACAGGCAGCCAAGTGACCAGAGCAGGATGCTTCGAGTTGAAGTTCCCACCTTTCTGCGTTCCCCATTCCATAACTGAGTTGTTCTGTGGTCTTGCACAGTTAATTAGTTAAGCGTGCATTTTAGTCTCTTCCTCTGTGACATGGTAGTAGTGGTTTCTGTTCTCTTGGGGATTAATTCATTTACAGCTGCTGACAGCTATGAGGAGGAAACCAGCAGGGCAAAGTATTTCTAGCATGGTTTTATTGCAGCCACTCCCAGGTCTTTCCCTGCTCTGCAGCACCCAGTGCAAGGGCCATGTTTGCATAGCCCCAGTGCTCTTTCTGACTGTGTTTTTCATCGTGCCCTCTATACGAGAGACATCTATGAAAGCTTTCTCGTTGCCTGTCGTGACTGGATAGAGACGCTTTCCTGCATTTAGGTGAAAAGCACCACCATCTGTACTAGGAGATGGAACAAAACCCATTTCCTGATCCTTTTGTCACTGGGAAACTGCTTCCACCAGGCTGGGGTTCACTGACAGGTCATTAACTCAGCCCTGAGGCAGAGAAGAGACTGCCCAGCCTTAAGGCTTCCCCTCACAAGTGCTTTTCCGTCTTCCAATTGGATGACTCAAATCCTACATGTCTTTAGTGCAGAGTCAGGGAACAGCTGAACCAAACACTGTGTACAAGAGACACAGCCCGTAACAAGCAAGACTGCTTATTTATCTGTTGCTGTCACCCTAATGCCCGACTTCTTCTGATGCTCTCCCATTTTTCACCCATGACATCTCTTTCTGGCTCCCACTCCTCCCTTTGTTAGGGCTTCTTCTGGCTCTCAGGGAAGCTGCACGGTTTCATTCTGGGATGCCATTTACTCACGCCAATTTCCTCCTTCCCCCTTCTCACCACATTTAACTTCTTCACAAAGTCACCAACAGCCTGCTAGTCACAGTCAGCACGTCTAAAAACTGGGGTTTATTCTTCAGGGGTTGGGGTTTTTTTCTGAGAGAAAACAATCTATTGAAAGTATGGCTGAAGGGAGGAGAGGTCCAATTCTGAAAGAACTTCAGAAAAGGAGAGACAGCAAATAGCCATTCTATAGTACTAGAGGGATGGCGTCACCTAGATTTAAGCCTTAGAATTACTTTTTTTTTGTGTGTTATTAATTAGTATGTCTATAACATTTTAAGAAATTAAGAAAGGTTTTATCTCCCTCTGTTCAACTTAAACATTTGTACTTGTACAAAGGAAGAAGAAAATCAAAGAAGTGACATGTCTACTTTCACATTCCTTACTGAGTAAGTGTTAATCAAAACAAAATGAAGGGCAATTAATGGAGCTGGAAACAATTAGAGGAATATTTTGTTTGCTGAAAAGACTGAGATTCTGATCAAGCAAAATTATTATTGCTGATTTGTCTTGGTAGATTTGGCTAGTGAGAAAAGTAGGAAAAGTAGAAATGTGTTAACTTCACTTTTACAAGGAAATGCTCCAACTTTTAATTCCTCAATACTTTACCTCAGAATTTAGCTGAAATTTAATTCCAAAGTGGGAGAGGGGAAACCTCTCAAATGTGAATTTGCATTAAAAGTAAATATTTTGTTTGAGTCAGAATGACCATTAGGGGCTTTTCCTTCAGCAAGTACACAGTACCAGTTATTCACACAACTGCAGTGAAAAGCTGTACAGCAGAAGAAGTCAGCCTGTTCCGAGATCCTGATTCAGCTCATTCAGGGCAGCTCTGGCATCCCAACACTGCCCTGCCATGTGCTGTGCAGTTTCTCCACTCTGGTGCAGTGCAGGAATCTACTATACCTTCTCCAAAAATTATTTACAGGCCAGTATTTTAACACTGAATTATTACCATTTGAGTCCTGCCCAAACAGGCAAGAAGAGCTTCACCCAACATACATATTCCTGCTCGGAAAAGTTTCCCGCCTATAATTTGGATAGCATGAAAGGTGAGAATAAGGAAAAGGGAGAATGAATACCAATGGTGTTACACAATTTACATAATGATCATCAAATCATGACCCAAGTCACATTTGTTGCATATGGAGCACATCCACTTTTTCTAATTACGTTAAACTTTGTGAATTTCCTTCTTGTGGGTCTTATTGTTGAAGCGAGGTTTTCAGGATTTTTGGTAAAAAAACCAAGTGATTTCCATGTGCGTAGCTTTGTTTGAAGCTGGAAGAAGGTGTAGGAGCATTGGTATGAGAAGACAAGACAGGTCAAAAAGTAGTGGAACTGAGAAAGCAGGCTCCGCAAGGCAGGATGAGAAAGGGCAAGTCTGTGATGAAGGCCAAGGGTGAGCTGGCTGATTTATATGCGTTAGTAGGGATCGTTGTGCATCCCCTTGATGTGAATAATATATAGAGATCACAAGCTGTATTGGAGTACATATTACAGTAGGATTTAAACTTACGGAGATGTACGCTACATGCAGATTTATGTATAAAAGAATAAAACCCAAGGACTTTTCCACTTCCAGCTGAGGAAGTTCCTTCTTCAGATATAAACATTGTATTTAACGGAAGCCATTAAAACTGTTTTTAAAAAATATTTTCCAGCCTCATGAAGAACAGCATTCTTTTCCTGTTTCTAAAACCGTCTTGTGGCTTTAGGAGATGCCTCTGAGTCTGGACATTCAGCACAGAGATGGTAAACACACCTGCCTGATCATAAACATGAAGGAACTTTTACTAAACAAAAAAGAAACACACAAAGTCCATTGGAATACTCGGACTTTGTAGTGCTGTTTCTTTCTACCCAACCCTTGAGGACATAATCAAATTAGTACTCACTTTCATGGAAAACGAACAGCCAAAGTCTTTTCATTGCCATCCTCCTCATCTCTCCTTTGTTTCACCTCAAGGTGCTCTTCCTTGTAATCTCTAGGTGGCTGGGTAAGTAATTGGCTTTAGCTGAAGGGCTGCTTCACAGTGGCATCGCAGGTTCACTTCCTCAGTATCTTTTAAAGTCCTGCTTCTCCAGTCTGCCACTCCCCTCCCCGGGCAGAATGACAAGCCAGATCACCAGTAGGCTTTGACATCGCTTGCTGCTCTCTGCCTAAGGGCAGAGGGGAGACTTCTGAACTCCTTCCCCAGTTGTGAACTTTCTTCCCCAATTAAACTGCCTTTCCCAGTTTCTCCTAACATGCAGGTACATAAAGCAAGAGAAGAGGCAAAGCGAAGGGTGTGGTGACTGGGAGTGTACAATACAACAATTGAAGTCATGCATGGGATGACATGTAACTAGAGGAGGATAAGCCTCATTCATCTCAAATATTTATTAAAGGAGCCTAGGGCCAGAGTTAAAAAGGTATTGAAGTGTTTCACAATGCAGGCAGCTGCCCACATCCAGGCTTTAAGGAACTGAGGTGCTTAACTCCACTTACTTTAAATACCTGTAAGAATATGTAATTTATGAGAATTTGATGACTAACAGGTTATCTAAATATAAGTGAGTTGCATCTCAGCCAGGTTCTTAGGCTCTTATGCCTACTGTTCAACTGTCCCAGTGTGTAGCTTGAACAACAGCTGTATGTACCTGTCCTGGTTTTGGCAGGGATAGAGTTAATTTCCTTCCTAGTAGCTGGTACAGTGCTGTGTTTTAGATTTAGGATGAGAACAAAGTTGATAAGGCACTGATGTTTTAGTTGTTGCTAGGTAGTGCTCACACTAGTCAAGGACTTTTTAGTTTCCCATGCTCTCCCGACTGAGAAGGCTGGAGGTGCAAAAGAAGCTGGGAGGGGGCCCAGCCAGGACAGCTGACCCAAACTGGCCACAGGGATATTCCATGCCGTGTGATGTCATGCTCAGAATATAAAGCTGGGGGAAGAAGAAGGAAGGGGGGGGGAACGTTCGGAGTGATGGCGTTTGTCTTCCCAAGTAACCATTACGCGCGATGGAGCCCTGCTTTCCTGGAGATGGCTGAACACCTGCCTGCCGAAGGGAAGTAGTGAATTAATTCCTTGTGTTGCTTTGCTTGCGTGCGCGGCTTTTGCTTTACCTATTAAACTGTCTTTATCTCAACCCATGAGTTTTCTCACTTTTACCCTTCCAATTCTCTCCCCCATCCCACTGAGGGGGAGTGAGCGAGTGGCTGTGTGGTGCTTAGTTGCTGGCTGAGGTTAAACCACGACAGTCCTTTTTGGCGCCCAACGTGGGGCTCGAAGGGTTTGAGATAATGACAGGTTTGACTGGAATGTGCTGGATCGAATTTATAGCTGTTATTGCTGTTTGGCTATTAATTGTCAGGCTCCTGTGCTTGCCATGGGGCTTGCTTGCCTTACTGTATATTACAGTCTAGTGCTCGTTAGCAGCTGCTTTTTGCTTTTGCTGCTTGCTGTACTGGTGATCATCTTACTCTGCTGTGCCTGGGACCATTCTGATAACAGCAATGGCCATGCGCCTGGGCTGGCAGATGGCCAGGGCATCGCTGCTGTTTCTGTGCTGCTGTACTGGACAGGCTGGAATGCCAGTGTGAACTCCAGTCGAAGGGACTGTGACCTGTGGAT